CCCCAGCCCCGCATCACCCCCCCCGAGCTCCCAGCCCCGCTGCACCGTCCCTCGGGAAGAGCCCGGAACGATGCCGGGATATTAAATAAATAAAGGCAGAAGCACCACATATGCATTTAAAAAAAACAAACCACTTTATTTGTCAAATGAAGGGGTCGGTTCACAAGGGCCCCGGGTGGCGGGAGCCGGGGCAGCAGGGACCTGGTGGCTGCTGCTGCTACACGCGGTACAGGGGGTACAGGTGCCTGCGGGAGGGAAGGAACGGGGGAACTCGGCATTTTACTGTGCTGGAAAGAAAGCAGCTCTTGCTACAGGTAGAAAATTTTGGCAAGAACAGTTTGTGTGGGAAGGGAGGCCGGGCAGAGGACACAGGTTTGCTCAGCACGTGCATCTCCCCGCAGCGGCTCCTCCCGCGCCCGCCGGGCACAGGCACACACGGTCAGGATGGTTCAGGAAAAATAAAGGCTTTTACCAGCTTGTTCACCATCTGTCTACAATCTACTTGTGCAACGTCTCAAGTCACAGCTCTGCTTAATTCTCACAACAATTCCCTTTTGCTTTGAAAAGCCCCAGGACCCTCAGGGTGGGAACACGGCCCAGTTCCTGCTGCAAGAACATGAACAGCCCAAGGAGGGGAGCAGTGACCAGCACATCAGAGAGCAAGACAGGCAGAGAGGGAATCTCAGTCCACCAGACTGGTTTATTAGAATTTTATTCTGAAAAGGAATCCCAAACAGCACAATGTTCGTTTCTGTTTCCATTTAAACACAGGGTATTAAATAGGCAAAATTCATATGCACAACATTGCTTCCAGCAGTCTCCTACACAAACACAGCTTGATCACGAGCAATGTTTATGGCACACACAAGGCCACCTGAGCCCCCTTCTCCTGAAGACACTTTAACACCCATATTGGCTCATAACCCAATGCTACCAGTTACTGGGAATGCCTTAAAGTAACATCTGCTGATAGACAATGTCCTTGGCTATGACCACACACCTCCCAGCCACGCCAACAGCTGTTTTATCCCATGACAAGCAACAACACTGTCCATCCACCAACAGGCTACCTGGGGAAGCTGAAGGGCTTACACCAAGGGGAGAAACAAGAACACAGCAGACAGGAGGGTCTCAACCCTGTGAGCCCCAGGAGTGTCACCCAGCCCATGAAACGCAGATCCCTGCACCACTCACTGCTCGTGGCAGTTGGGGCTGGACAACAAGCCTGTAAAAATCAGCATTTCAGACCAAAACCTCCTTCTGCCAACTCTATTGCTGTGCTGAGGCTTTTAGAAACCGCCTGCAAATCAGACACAAAATGCAACTTTCTAGAAGCAGTATTTTTTCTACAGGAAAACAACATTTAAGTTGTCTCAAGGCTAGATGCAACACAGAAAACTGCAGAAGTGAGAACATTTTGATGAAGAATTGAAATAAAGTCCAAAGAAAACTAAAAGCTGTAGCCACAGGAGAAAAGTGATGTACAAAATGAGTGCCCAAAGGAGCTGAGCTTCACTGCAAAGCTGAACAAAGTTGTAAGACAAACTTTGTCTCTATCAGCCTTCCTCTCACAGAGCTTTCTTGGTGTTCAACTTTCCTCACCAGTTAAAGAGCACTGCTGAAGTTTCCACTTTGCTGGCACTCCATCAGGTTCAAAAACTTCAAAAGGCTCTTAAGATTTAGCATTGCTCCAGTGGGTATTGCTTTGCTATTATGTCTGAGTGAACACTAACCAGCAAGGCATGGATTTTCTATCAAAGAAACTGGTTTTGAATATATTGAAGAAAGTTGCAAGTGTAAGTATAGTGGCTGTTTATGAGTTACTAATTTAATAGCTAATTCTTGCACACCTGTATTCCAATGGGTTGCAGACCTATGGGCTAGCACAGCCCTAAACTCAACATGGAGTCACATCTGTGTTGCTAGATAGTATTACAGGAGGTACTAATTTTCTAACTGCAAAATGTGTTTAAAAGACCTATATAGTTCCCAGCAATGAAAAAAAAAAAAAACAAAAAAAAAAAAAAACAAAAAAAAAAAAAAACAAAAAAAAAAAAAAACAAAAAAAAAAAAAAACAAAAAAAAAAAAAAACAAAAAAAAAAAAAAACAAAAAAAAAAAAAAACAAAAAAAAAAAAAAACAAAAAAAAAAAAAAACAAAAAAAAAAAAAAACAAAAAAAAAAAAAAACAAAAAAAAAAAAAAACCCCACACATTTCATTTAAATAAACTTGCCCTCTGACAGTCTGCTTTGAAACAAGTGGATTATCTTAAAATAAAGTAACAGGTAAAAATCATGGGAGCAATCCCAGTGGCCTTCCTTGGGCAGAGCTGGGCTGTAAGAGAAGAGCCCATGTCAGAGAGACTCCAAACAGAACCCTATTCACTGAAGATGCAAACTTGCAAGAAGGGGCACAGGTTTGCATCAAGAACTCAGCACTTTCACAACCTGGTTGATCCTCAGAACACCTCACAGTTGGCTCCCTAAGGCGACGTGAATCATCAGCAACATTTTCTAAGTAGGGTGAAAAGGGAGGCAGAATTGTTTACCCAAGGACAGAGAGGGAACCCATTTCAGAGCCAGCCTTGATACCAGAGCTCCTGGCTGGGCAACTCATCAGTATTTCAAAACTGCATAAAATACCACCTGTTTTAAAAGCTCTTTCATTTCCACCTGAAAATCCACTTTTTCAGCAGCTTTAAGCCCCAACTACCATCTAAGGATGCAGGTGCTTCTGCACAGCACACAGCTACAACAGCTTTCCCCCTACTCACACCTCCATATCCCAGGAGGGGGGATCTCCTACTACTTGGCTAAATCTTCCCATACCTGAGACCCTTCACAATTTTCCACACAGACATCACGACTCTCAGCTGCTGCCAAACTGGTTCTTGGATTTTCTGTGGTGTTTGTTCCTCACCTCCACATTCCCACTCCATCAGACCTCTGCACTGCTCCCCAACATTCACTGGACAACATTCTTCATGTCCTTAGAGCCACTAAACAGGGGTAGGGGAGGAAGAAGCAATGAATTGAGTGTATGGAAAGCTGCAGGAGCACAGGAAGCAGTGAAGACATCAGTGGACAGGCAACATCCAAAGAAAGGCAGAATTAATGATTCTCATTAGATAGAGAAACATATCAAGGTTAAATTTTATTTAAAAAATTGCAAGTCTACCAGGAAGTGTATTTATTTGATGACATTACTCTCCAGAAACCACTTATTTTAAAAGCTTTTCCTCTGGGTAGTTCTAATTCACAAATAATTCAGGGCTCACTAAGTAATTCAAAACAAAACCAACTCCATTCTGACCAAGGCCTTTGAGCTTTAAAAAGAGTTCAATAAAAACATTAACCATCCTACCAATGCAACCATGAGTTTTTCCAGCTTCTGCTCTTGATCAGAAAAAGGCA